GCTTCTTTAAAAGTTAATAGTTTTAATCAGAGTCATGAGATTTTTCTTTTATGACATACAGTAGCAGTGAGGACAGTGTTAGATGGTTGTAATGGTTATAAATGGTTATACTATCATAAACCCCAGAGTTCAAGGATGTTCTTGCCATTTTAAGTTCAATACAATGTTTTTTTTTTTTTTCATTATGACTTTTATGTTTTCATGTCTTAGGTAAAACAGGACATGATATTGTGTGATAGTCGATGTTTTCTCTCCATCAACGAGTGGTGTAAAACCTAAAAAAATACACGCTCCCAGCTCTGTGAAACATTAATTAAGAATTAATTATTAATGTCAGATTAATGTCAGGCTATTTATACATTCTAAATAGATCTGTAGATTAAGGATAGACCGATACATCGGCCGGCCGATATATCGGGCCGATATTTGAGTTTTTTACTTGTATCGGCCGATACGCGCGTGGGTTCGCGGATTTATTTTTCCCTGGCATGATTTACAGACAGGCATCCACGGGCAGCTCTGTGTTGCCGGAAGACCCTGCAGCGCACATGCAGTGAATCCTACTGTGTACAGTAGTTGTTGTTTTATTTATGCTTCAGCTTAAATATTTGTTTATTTTATAAAGACATTACTGGAAGATTTAAGAGCACTGAACTCTTTTTTTTATTTGAATGTATAATAATAATAATAATAATAATAATATTCTACCTGTTCTACCTCAACTTTCCATCTTGTTTTAGTATTTTTTACTGTTCAATACATTTCAATAAGTTTCTTATTTTAAACTTGAGACCTGTAATATTTGTTATCATTGTGTCATTTTTTTTGTTGTAAATTGAGGGAGCAAAAGCAGTGTCGGCCCCAAATATCGGCTCAAGAAAATCGGCAGTCCATAATCGGTCATCGGCTAAGGGTGATGGAAAAAAATCGGTATCGGCATCGGCCCTAAAAAATCCATATCGGTCTATCCCTACTGTAGATTCAAATTTGGTATGGACACTTGTTTTCAGTGGATTCCTGGGCAGTATGTAAGGAATAAATATGATGCCGTCTTACCAGTAGCAAATTTGTTGCCACTATTCAACATTCTGAACAGCAGTTTTGAGCCATTACAGTTTTGTAGCTCATTACATTCTAAATATATCATGCCTTTTCTTCTCAGCAGTACTGTAATTTAATTATCAGTGCAATATGTAGAGAAATTAAGATTGAAGAAGAATTCAAAAGTTGTACACAGTCAAACTGTGTTTGATGTACAAGATATTTCACTCCTGATAACCTTGTTTTGGACCTGACCAGGGCTCTCTGTGTACCCAACCCCACCCCAGATGCTGTTTGGTCGTTTACACCTCTAGAGCCCTCCACCCATGTTCTCCCCACTCAGAGTGCCTCTGTGTCTATTATTGGCAGGAAGTCGTGACAGGGAAGGCTACTCAGCCAGGGGGAAAAGGAGGCTAAACATGGTTTGGTGAGGAATGTGAGAGAACAGCCGTGTTCATTTGTACATTCACCAGCCAGCCTGCCAGCCTTCCAGTCGGCCATCCAGACCTCTGAGTGCCTGGACAAGGGGCGCCTTTGTCCCCCATCTGCCGGCTACACCCTGCCCTGCTCCTGCCCCCCATCTTACCCTTCTCTCCATCCTGTTGCACCTCCTCTGCCTCCCTCTTTTCACTCGTGGGCCCTCGCCCCAGAATAGCACAGCAGGTCCCCTCTGAAAATAGAGCTGGTGATGTTGGCAGGGTCAAGCGCTCCCTCTCGTCTTTTTTCTTTGTATCTCCCTCTCTCTCTCTCTCTCTCTCTCTCTCTCTCTCTCTCTCTCTCTCTGTGTTTCTTTCCCTCTTACAGAATCACTCTTTTGTTTCAGAGGTTTATTCAGAGAAAGTAATTGATAAAAACAGCAAAAGCATTTATATTTAAAATGAGGAATCCAAAATCATGAAATAAGTAATCATTTAATTAAATGTCTGAATAGCTCATCAGCCCTTAGACTAAGTATCATGTTTATTATCTAGGCCAGGTCTTAAAGCACTCCTCACAAGGCCTACAGAAGGTAAACTCTTCCTGCAGAGTCATGTAGGCCAGCCTTAATCTCCCATGCACCCATGCAGTGAGGTATTCCCTCTTAAGTGTAAAAAAGACAGGTTAGCTGTGGAGGAAATCTTATTAAGAGAGCGCTGAATGTAGAAAATAGCTGTTTTTCTGTTTGAGACCGGCTCAAGCTTCCCGTTGGGCAAATAGCAGGACGCCCATAATTTGACAAATTCCACTTTAATCACTCAAAAGGCTCTTTGCCAACTCTTTCTCCTTCTCTTGCCAGATATTTGAAGGTGAAAAATGACTGAAAGGGTAGTGATGGTGATGGAGCTCTAACAATGCAGTAACAATGTAGAAGGTGCATTGGCACGTTGTTGTTTGTTGTCACTATGACAGTAACATTCAACACATTCAAATGGATGGAGGACATATTAATAGGAATGTTACCACTAGAAACAGTGACTGTAATTGTTGACTGACTCTTAAACTTGCATCAGCTAATGGGAAAAACAAGATGCGGACATAACAAGTTGTCAGCCATCAGTTGCCTGTTTACCCATGCTGCTGATACAGAGTAACATAAGCATTTATTTCAGCCTGTTCTCATCAAATATGACCATTTGGTCAGTGATTTTGGCATCAGACACTGGCGCAAAAAGGCAGATTTTGAACCGGTCGTTGGGTGACATCAGTGTATAATGCTGTCAGACAGTGTTAGTTTGAAACATCCCGGTAACAATGCAAAATCTAAATAAGAGGCTGGAATGTCTTTATAGGGCAGGTGGACGGTGTGGTGTATGGGTCCAACAAACCACGGATTTTCACCCGAGAGCCCACTGTTTGCTTCTAGTATGAATTTTGAGCCATGTTTTCTTTCCTAAACCTAACCATATGCTTTTGTTGCACAAGGAAAGAAACGTAAAACGAGGTGTTTTACCAAAAACGACATCTAACGAGCAGAAACTGTACATTTCCTATGAAAATTGAGGTGTATTGTGAAGAGACACAATTCATGTAACAGGTGGAAATAAACATGGCGTCCGATAACTTGAACAACAGACGTAGGATGTTACCTTGCTTGTCGTATGTGGACGTGAAAGCCTACTGTCCAAATGTCAATATTTGACAAGTTGGGATGAGAACTTGTTATTTATTTGTAGTTGTGTTTAATCCAATAGATACTCTCCTTTGAGCTCTTTTTTTGTCTCCACCACCTTTTGCGAGAAAGATCTGGCTCTTTAGTTGCTAAATGCTCCGCCATTTTCACCAGCTAGCTGCTGACGTGATCTTTTTGCTGTTTGGTGGGCAGATAGTGTACAGTACAGTGGGTTAATAGAGCTTTTTCAAAAGGGGTTTCATTCCAGGTGGCTCACCTAATTTTGAACCATTCTGAGCATTTCAACCAAAAATAAATTGGTTCAGAACCTGAAAAGTTGGTTCCCAGCTGGAACCAAGAAATAGCAGATTTTCCTTGGCCTGAATCCATCCATTAGTGGGTGTGTCATATGCTACAGATTGGAATGAGAGGATAAAATCTTGCATGTAATAGTGTTTTACATCTTCTTATCATTAATATTTTGCCTATAAGTGTATTTGATATCAATCTGCCATCTTACTACCACTGTTTGCCACCATTGTGCATCGTGCAACAACTTCCGTTGTTGACGTATACTTGATTATGATGGTTCTGCTCAAAACTGGAGATGCAGGCTGGCTTGCTACATAGCACCAAGGTTCAAAAACCAGAGCTACTTTGGTGGAAAAGGTGTATCAGAGCAGTGAAAGTGTATAGTAAAGTATAATAAAGTTGCAGGCCTTTAAACCAAAACAATGAGCAGAAAGCCGTTAAAAAGCAATTTGGAGCTCAGAGGAATTGCAGAGTCTGCTGATAATTCTCTGTGGATCTATCAGTGACACCTTTCACATTAAACATAGTCATTTGAATCATTGTTAATATAAAAATATTGATTACAGTAGCTTTAGATATTATAAGATTAATAGCCCAGCCACAGACAGGCTCTTGTTGGCTGAGCGACCTGTTGAAGAAAGAACGTGGATAAAACTTAAAGCCGCAGCTCAGTGCTGTAGACTAAACAATGGCTGTCACTCCTGCGTAGAACTCTAGAACTCTAGACCCTGAAATTTCAAGTTGTAGACATCTAGTTAGGCGAGAACTGCCTACATGGTCCAATCCAAATGGATATTTTTCAACTTGAATAATGACTGAGTAACTCTAGCTCAGCCCTGAGGCGGTTGGTGTCTTTAGACAGACATTTCTCCTCCTTATAGGCAATGTTTTTCCTGGAGCAGCAGCTAAAGACATTCCACTTCAGTTCCCCTGGTGTCTGATTGAATGAAACCCACTTAAAGCAAAGGGGCCTCATGGAAACTCTTTGTGAACAATTGAATTTTTTGATATCGGTGACATTTCAGCAACTGTTAATTATCTAAATCACTGTCTAGATTTACATGTATAGACTGTAGCTGTGTTATATAGTGCTCTAGTGTTTATGAAGCGTTGGCTGCTTAATGTGTTTCTGTCAGTGGATTACTGGGTTGCATGTAAGCCTAATCACTTGATGATGTGCCATGAAGGTGTAGTGCTTTTCTGAGAGACTGCAAATTATGGCTCATGCACACTTTGAATTTGGTTTTAGTCTTTTCTATCCTGTCTGTCTTCACTGGACATCTGAACAGTTACTTGTAATCATGGGAGTGTGGTGGTGTGTCTCATAACACCACTGATTACAGTGACTTTAAGAACTTGTGACTGATGGTACCCATTTGTTCCTGCGAGTAATCCAAAAAGAAATTTGCTTTCTAAACATTTTTCCTGCCAAAGAATTTGGCCGTAAAACTGTTTAAACTTTTCCACAAAGTGTCAACCAAAGAAAAATCAAAATTTTAAAATGTGCCTGGCTCTCCTTTTAATCAGTTTTTCTCTTGCCCTGTTATTTCCTCTGTAGATGGTCCAGACCTGCCCAATGCCGTCGGCTCCCCTCCCTCCAGCCCAAACCCGGCCAAGAAGAGCAGCTCCATCAACTGGTCCTTCCCAGACAAAATTAAGTCCCCGCGCACTGTAAGGAAAATCTCCATGAAGATGAAGAAGCTTCCGGAGCTTAGCCGGAAACTCAGTGTCAAGGGGACCCCGAGCAGCAGTAACAGCAACAATGGCACCGGAAGCAGTCATTTAGAGCCCAGAGCCCATTCTCCCCGAAACAACGGGAGCGGGTCGGAGGCCACCCCCCATTCCTCAGGCCCTCCCAGGTTAGCTGCGTCTGGGGGTGGGCAGGCCAGCCGTAATGTGATCTCACGCTACCACCTAGACAGCAGTGTGTCAACACAGCACAGCTTCAGCAAGAAGAAAAGCAATGGCAGCTCAAAGTCCGCCAGTAAAGGTGGCTACCTCAGTGATGGCGACTCACCTGAGCTGGTGGCCAAATCTGGGAAGCACAGCTCTGCAGAGGGGAAGGGAGGAGGAAAAGGCAAGGAGATGGAAGCAGGGGGCGGAAGCTCTAAACTCAATGGCACAGAGCTAGACATTGATGCTTTCCGCCATTACAGCTTCACAGAGCAGCCCAAGTGCAGCCAGTACATCTCCGGACTGATGAGCCTACACTTTTATGGCGCTGAGGACCTCAAACCTCCACGTATTGACTCTCGAGATGTCTATTGCGCCATCCAAGTGGACTCAGTTAATAAAGCACGAACCGCTCTCCTCACATGTCGAACTACCTTCCTAGATATGGACCACACCTTCAACATCGAGCTGGAGAATGCCCAGCACCTGAAGCTGGTAGTGTTCAGCTGGGAGCCCACGCCGAGACGCAATCGCGTCTGCTGCCATGGCACGGTGGTTCTGCCTGCGCTCTTCCGGGTGACACGTTGCCACCAGCTGGCGGTGAAGCTGGAGCCGCGGGGGCTGATCTACGTCAAGCTGAGCCTGATGGAGCAGTGGCAGAACTCGCTGGATGGTGGACCAGACGGAGACAGGGAGCCCCAGGTGTTTGGTGTGGAGGCGTGGCGGGTGGTGGAGAGGGAGAACACAGGACAGATGGTGCCGCTGCTTATAAGCAAGTGCATCAATGAGATTGAAAAGAGAGGCTGCCAGGTGAGTCTGTTTGGGGTTCAAAGAGTGCGGCTTTGAGAAAAAAAGGGTGACAGGTCAACCAGGTGACACTGTGGCAAGCTATGTTTCTGCTGATCATGATTAGTGCTGCAGCTTTTAGTTCCCTTCATGAAACTGTCTGTTCTATTTTTGATTCATTGAACAATTGTTTACACTGTAAAATGTTAGGACATATATATATATATATATATATATGTGTGTGTGTGTCTGAGCACACATTGTATACACAGTATATGTGGGTGGAAGCTTTTCAAATCCTATTCTCTCAATTGAAAACAGATGAGGATTAATTTGAAAAGACAGTTGGTTGGATACAATTATATAATGCATTTTTGTATGAGATGTGTGAGAGAATAGGGAGAGAAATAATCCCACATTCATAGCATCCTTTTAGCTCAGTATGTCGTGAGACAGGTGCTCGCCCTGCAGCCAGTTATGGTGCTGGATGACTGGCATGAGCAGAATGGAAAGAATGGAGATGAATCGCACTTCATGATGTCTCTGAGCCTTCCTGGGGCATCTGGCTCTTTTATTCAGGGAGGAGAAAGACTTGGAGTTAAGTGACTCATGTGGTTGTGGTGTTGGTGTTGATGATGGTGTTGGAGTGTTCCACAACATCATGTGCTCATCTCCTGTTTTGTGCCCCCCCACCGCCATACACACAAACACACACAGACACACACATTTCATGTGCTCTATGAAGCCCAGAGAGAGGAGAGAGAAGCGGCAGTGTTTTTCTCAATTAGAGTTGAGACAGCCACTGTAAAAGTGTCTGCTCTTGACTGATCACTCTAGGGGGGCATGCCAGGGGCAGTGGGTATCGGGGGCCAACAGACAAACATTTGGCCTCTCCAAGGAGCCTGTCAAATCAGGCCACACCCTCAGCCACTTGTGCAGCCTGCCGGGTTTCTAACAGTAGTAGGAACAGCAAAGCCGATAGCCATTGCTTTGATTGCAGAGGTAGAAAATTGTTTTATTTGCTGATGTCAAATTAAAATTTCAGCTTTAATTGTATACCAACTAGTCATTGTTGTCATCATCCATTAATCTGTCGCTTATTTATTTGATTATTTATTCAGTTCATCTAATTTTTTGCCGACCAAGCCATCATATAGTTTGCGCTTTAAAATGTCAGAAAATGGTGATTACAGTTTTCTAGAGCCCAAAGTGACATATTCAGATTTCTTGTTTAGTCCAGCCAAGAGTTCAACATATATTTAGTGTTCTTTATTAACATGTTGATTATTTTTAGGCCTCCTTGCCCGCGATAGCTGTGGCTGAAGGCATTACATGTTCAGGTTGTCTATACGCACGAACGTTCATCCTTCCATCCGTCTGTCCATCTGTCCCATTCTTGTCAACTTGATATCTCAATGATGCCTCAAAGGAATTTCTTCAAAGTTAGCAGAAAAATTCACTTGGACTGAAGAATAAACTGATTCGATTTTGGTGGTCAAAGGTCAAGGTCGATGTGTCCTCACAGTGCATGTTTTTGGCAATAACACAAGCTAATCACGCTAATTATGACAAAACATCGCACAATTATCTAACAGGATGTCATGATGAAGTGATTACATTTAATATTCAGAAGATCAAAGGTCAGCTTCACTGTGACATCATAATATTCTGCATAAAACACTTTTCTGGCATTACATCATATCTCAGGAACAGAAGGGTAAACATTTGGTCAGTGTTTTCACAGATATGGATGCAGAGAGGCATACAACTGCAGGGTGGTAAATCTAGTTTTGGTTATTCAATTCATCTCCAAATTCTTAAAAATTGCCCATCACCTGTCCCCAGAGCCCAATGGAAGTTCTTTAAATTGCCTGTTTTAGCTGAGGGAGAGAGTTCAAAACACAAATATATAAGCTTTAGAATAATATAATGTGAAGAAAAGCAGGAAAGTCTCACATTTTAGAAGCTGGAACCAAAGACTTTTTGCCATTTTTGGTTGATAATTAATGAATTGATTAACAAAATTGTTGTTGTTTCAGCAATAGATGAATTGACGAATCTTTCCAACACTACATGAAACTTTTAGGTGCAGTGTTCTCACTCAGAGCCCCATTTAGTGAAGGAAACTTTTAGGCCTATAGTTGTCAGTCGTACAACATTCAGGTTTACCCAAGTTTCCTCTTGAGAGCTTTTTCAAGGTTGTATGAAGTCATTGCATACCTGTAATGAAAGACCTTTCAGATTCCAATTGAAAAGACATAAAAGATACCTGTTACAGAATGACAAACTCGCCTGACTGCCCTCTTAACAGAGCAGCTATAGATCTCACTTAACAAAACAGCCTGTTAGCTCAGATTTCTTCTGTTTATGTAATTCTCTCTGCTTTGTCGTGCCATACAGTGATTCCTATCTGTTTCTGTCTCTCCTTGTTTACCTCTGTGTCTCCCCCCGGCTCTGTTTTCAACTCTCTGACACTGCATGGCTCCCCCAGGTTTCAGGCAGACAGGGGTTAGGATGGGGCTGACACCAGATCCCAGAGGAATTTGCAGGTTGTGTCACTAAAGCACGCCCGGCCAGACGTGCAGCGGTGTGCCTTTACAAATGATTATGTGGATGTTTGATGGAGACTCCTTTTCAGGGTCTGTTAGAAACGAGTGTCCTAAGGGCTTCTCAGAGCTTTTAAGACTCTGGATGATTGTGGGTGTTTTGAAAAGACTGCACATAACGTCTGTGTCAGAGACTGGAGTTATGTATGGGAGCACTCTGTACCCATTAAAAGAGAAAAGTAACCCACATACTACCAGGCATGACAGTAAAAGATGCACACAGATGTTATGACATGTTACGCATTGTCATACAGACGCATCATTTCAGCCTACAACAGACTTCATAGTGTTGTGCAGATGTGACTTAAAGACTGAAGCCCTGGTCAGACATTGAATCAGTATCATTGCTGTCTGTTAAAGGAATGTTTTTGGGCTGTCAAGCATATGCTTCTGGCTCTTTTCAAACATGACCGGACTGCAGCGTTACTTGTACCATACATGGCATCTGGCACAGATGAGAGACTGGTATTTTCTTCTGTTTTCTCAAAGGCTACATCAGTAAAATATTAATCAACTATTTTGCAGTTGAAGACTTAATGAACATTAGCACGAGGGACTCTTGACTGCTCTCCAAAGTGGATCCCTTAATAACTTTTCTCATTAATTTTATAGTCTATTAGGTGAATTATAAAAGTCTGATGTCGTTTTTTTATTGTAGTTCAGAGGTGCTAAAGCATCGTTAAAAAGTGCAAGTTGTTAAGTTGTTACTCCCCTTTGATTCCAACTGGCTGACAGCCCGAATGTAGAAACTTTTGCTGTACATACAAGAGGAGTGTATCAAAAATGTGTCCTTTCTGTTAATGGCTTTCCAAGGTAGTTATGGTGGTATTCGGTGTTGTGGAAATCCTATTAAGACTTTTTACATTTATGTACCAAAAGGGGCTGCCTGTGGTGTCTGCTTTAACTCTGTTTAGAGCTGACTGCCTAGTTGACTGAAAGAAAATAATCTGCAATATTTTGACAATCGATTAAGCATTTAAGGTTTACTTTGCTGACTTTCAACCAGCTCTGTATCATAACAGTGTGCTTAGTATGTGTAAATGAACGGTGGTTAACTTTCCTCGATCTTATCAGTGCCAAGGTCTCCTCGCTCGTTTGACAGAAAAATCTGTTTATCTGGCTCTTGGGATGTTGCACAGACGACAGATTGTACTTCTAATATTTGTATGCCCACTACCACCGCAGACTGTAAAAACAATGGACACAGCTACTGTGACGTCACCCCGTTCTGAAGCTTCCATCTTACCATCCTATTTTTTTGGAGCCAGAACTGACCATGTTTGGGTGAGAAGATGGAGCTGTGGAGGGGCGAGGGATGGAATTGACTGAGACAGAGGATACTATCCACAGACAGACTGTAACTTAAAGTAGACTGCCTTTAATTACGCGTAACTTTAAGCCGTAATAAAGTGTAGATGAGTGAGTTGTATAAAAATTCACCCCTGTGTCCCCTTTTTCTGCTGTGAAGCGGAGCATTTTAACATAGGTGTCTTTGAGGATTGACTCTGGTTGCCTCAAGTGGCCATTCATAGAACTGCAGTTTCTGGCACTTCCATGTTGGCTTCATTTTTCAGCCCAGGATGTTGCCACTTGGCCACCACAGACACAAAGAGTATAAAAGAGAAAAGAGAGGGGGACCCTTCTGTCTCTCACTCTCTTTCTTAAACTCAGATCAAACCCTAACACAAGGCAGTGCTGATCAAATATGAACCAAGATTATTTCACTGCGTTGTCTGTTTCCTCACCTTAAATGTGTTCAGAAACATTTTCACTTAATGTTTTACAGTAATACGAGTTGTTTTTTACCAGCTGTCCACCATATAGTTTTTTCAGAATAGCAACTCACATTACATCTCCCACCAGTAGTGTTTATTGGTCTGGTGCAGCACAGTGCATTCTGGTAGTAGAAGGTTTTCCTGTTGAGCAAAAGTTGATGCCATAGCCCTTTTCCTCTGTTTTCTGTGGTCATATAGGAACATTTTCAAAAGTATATGTGTCTTTCTACTGCCTAGACAGCCCAGTCTTGTGAAACCTTTATTCAACCTTTATTTTTAAGTATTTTTTAAAGCAGATAAGACAAAACATAACCTAATTTAAGTATGTCATTTGTTAGGAGTCATTGTTTTTTTTTTTTGCACGTGTGTGTGTTGTGGGGTAGTAAACTTAGTATCTTTGGGTTTTGGACATTTGAAACATGACATTTTATTGACGAGTAACTGATCTATTGAGAAAATACTCTTTTGCTCTTGTGCTGGTGTAGTCAAACACTGACGGTTTGTATACATTCACGTCTGCTCTCTTATGATACGTTTACATACATACATATGTGGGGAATCCCTAGATCGTGCCAGGAAAGCGTTCTGTCATTCTTTCGTGAAAGTTAGAGCAGATTGCCATTTTCCTTCTAGTGCCAATGAGAATGGTGAGTCATGTTTAGAGGAAGTCAACAACTTGTCAGACTGACTTTGATTGAACACTCAAGAGTATTAGTGCACTGAAATGCACTGTTCTTTCTTTCCTTTGATGTCTCTATAAAGTCTTTAAGCTAATCCCAGACCAAAAAACTGATCCCATCACTGGTTCTTGAGTCACTGAGCATCCACATTCCTGTCGGGGGAACTCGTTTGGTTTGTGGTCATTGTGTCTGCCTTATTCTGCATATACGTCTTGGCTGGTGCTGCCTGTCGTGTTGCCCGGCAGCCACAGTGCATAAGTGCAAGCCCTCTTTTTTTTGCTAACAGCTGTTCCACGCCTGCGCTCGGCTCTCCTCCAAAGAGAGACTCTTTTTTTTCCTGAATGGACTTGTTGTTCATTGTGCCCAGTGACTTCTGTTTACTCTCGCACAAAGGCAAATCCCTGCCTAATCTGTGCTCCTCTCTCCCTCTCGTGTGAGGTTTAGAAAACACTGCTCGACTCGACGAGGAGTGCTCACAAATAGTTGGTCTGGTGGGGAGACATTATAGTGCTCCTACGCTGGAGCCCGGAAAGGCCAGCAGTGTGTGTGTGTGTGTGTGTGTGTTTGTGTGGAACCGGACCCAACCCGCCATTCACAGCCCACTGACTTAACATGTTACCGGGGCAACCACACCAGTTGGTCTGCTATGCCACATACCAGACAGACACATGTAGGAGAAATTATGGTATGTCTGTAGCCAGGCCTAATCCCAACATAACAAGGAGACCACTGGTGCCAAGTTTCAACTATCGAATGTCAACGTCTGGAGGAAATTGTTAAGAGTTCCTTCAGTTCACGCTGCGGAGGCATAGGTAAAGAAACATAAATGGTTTACTGCTTAGTGCTTCCATTTTTAATGCTGAGCTGTCAGTTAGGTTTTTAGAAGAGCTCAGTGTTTATCCAGTCAGTCATAAGGATGTGACATTTTTATCACACCTCTGAGTGTAGTTTGGCAAAACCCAGAACACATTCGCTCTTTAATTCACCTTAAAATAAACCAAGTGATGAAACTAAGCTCATTGATATATTAAAAATGATAAACAGCAATGTTCTAAAGTTAGACCATACCTCTTTGAAAAAAAGAAATAGCCAACTTTTCCTCTTAAAATTCAAAAGTGTAATTCATGAGCAAAAAGACGCACTGTCGCTCCTTTCAATCTGCTCAGGAATTTTACAGCCACAGCCTCGCCTTTCCAGTAGCGTATGGTGGCTAATGTTAGCTAACGTTGTTATTTAACTGATACTACTGAATCAGATTGTTTACTTGTTGTTGCTTTTTAATACAGTATTCTAGTTACAAATAAAAAGTTTAATTCAAAAGCAATAAAATTTAGTTATGCTCTAATGAGTGCCTGAAAGAGGCGTACGCCACTTCCCATACAAAAGTTTCAATCTATGAAAACAGACTTGATAGCAGAAACTTTGATGTTGCTTAATAATACATTTTGGAGATGGGAACTTTGCAACGCAGATGTTGAGGAGGAAGCCTGATTGTAGATATTGTCTAATATTTTTTAGCACACATGCCATTTTTGGCTTTTGTCCAAACATACATTTTTAGTATGGCTCCCTGGCATAATTTCATAAATGACACTCCTGGATACAGCAGCGGAGGTGAAGCCATATTCATTGCTATGAAAGTTGCTCATTGGTGCATAAATTCAAAAAAGTTAGACGTCCTGAAAATAAAATTACTAGGATCTTACCGATCCATGGGCCTGTAGAGCAAGTGCACTGTAGACTTTCACTTGCTGAGCTGCTAACTTCCTGTTTTGTCCTTTACTAACTTGAATGGGGATAAAATGATTTAATCCAGTGACTCTTACCGGTTATAAATTTAATTGGACCAAGTGAATCAATTCTGATAGTGAAATGAGTCATTTTGTGGGGGTTGTGAGACTTAAAAAATGTTTGTACTGATTTAAGACGTCTCTTTCCCAATTGTAAGTCCATGGGAAAACGCTGTGGGTTTTTTTGCCCCATGGCATCACATAGTAGACCCAGAAGCTGTAATACCACTATTTGGCCACTGTGTAAATGGACTGCATTTGTATAGCCCCTTTCTCCTTTTCTAACCATTCAAAACACTTTTACACTACACACCACAATCACTCATTCACACACACATTCATACACTGGTGGCGGAGCTACCAAACACGTTTTCTACCAGCTCATCAGTTAAACATTCACACACAATCACATTCTCTCACATAAACATTCACACAAGGGCAATTTGGGGCTCAGTGTCCTGCTCAAGGATACTAGGGATCGAACCGTTAACCGTCCGTCTAGGAGACGACCCACTATACTGTACCTCCTGACCCACAGCCTCCCAAATTGGCAAACTGGATCCAAAGCTTGGTGCTGTTCCTGTAGCTTGGATGTAACCATAGCTTAGCTAATATTAGCTAATGTAGATAACATATTGCAGTGTAACTGACATTACTGGGTCATTATGTTAAATTTTAACTCCTCTCTGCATTTTCGCATGTCGGATACATTTTCTTTTGTTCAGTCAGAGTTATGTAGTCTTACTTTAAATGTTTCGAACAAACCATAACAGTCTGTCTCTGTTGAGAAGATGCAGCTGCCAGTCAGTCAAGTTGAGTTGGTTATATTTGTCTAGCTCAAGCTTGTGTCAGGGCTTTACAATCTGTATAACATACAACTCCATCTGTCCTTAAACCCTTAATTTGGGCTGGAAATGCCGGGCAAAAAGCTTAAATTGGAAAAGTAAAAAGAAGGAATCCTCATAAAGAGCAGGGATCCCTCTTTCAGGATTCACATATTGTACAAAGATAAGATATACAAAAACAGGATTACAGTAAGTAGATCAAAAGTAGAATGTAAGATATGTTTAGTAAGATAAGTAAGTAGTATGTAGTGGTGGTGTGGTGCTGTTCCACGATGGGCCTCCTGTGTTCCATCAAAACGTGAGCCCTGATAGAGTTAAATATACAATCTCTAAAATGTTGTCAGTTGTTCAAGTAAGCTGCCATTTAATGGAGATAAAACAGACAACGGTTTTAAGACACCTGGATTTTCTGTGAAAGTACTCTTGGCTTCTTTCCAGCACATTGTTTGAGAACACACTTGATCGAAAGGGTTGTAAAAATGTCTGCCACTCCATCAAATGTTTTGTTTACTTGACCTACTTGTGTGTCATTGTGTGTGTCCAGGTGGTGGGTCTCTATCGTCTGTGTGGATCTGCAGCTGTGAAGAAGGAGCTCCGGGAGGCGTTTGAGAGAGACAGCCACGCTGTGGAGCTGAGTGAAAGCACGTATCCTGATGTTAACGTCATCACAGGTAAGTCGATCGCTGGTAACAGAGAACATGAGATGGCAACAAAGCACGGGGTCGACACACACGCTCGGCATAATTAGGAACGGTTGTTTAACTAGAAAGAGTGTGGGTGTCCCTCTGACCTTCCCTCTTACCCTCTATTAAGATACAGTATGACATAAGACACTACATACTGCAGTATACAAAACATTAGGTGCCCTCAGGTTTCCTGTAAAACAGACAGAACAGGTGATTCCAGGTAAAATCTATTGCCATTGTTTTCTCAGAAACTAATGAATTGCCTGTCACAATTTCCCAGAGCCCAAATTAACACCTTCAAATTGCTTGTTTTATCCTGAAAAACCATTCACACCCAACAGATATCCACTTTCCCATCAATGAAGAAGACAAGCAGCTGGAACCAGTGAATTTTTGGCATTTTTGCTAGGGAAATTATATAAACTATTTATCAATTGATGTGACCTGTCAAAGTTTGTTTTGTCATGAAGCAGAAGCAGACAATTTAAACAGTTTTTGAAGTTTCCCGAAAAGAAAGAGGCACAAATTTATAAGTTATGTGTCAAAAATATTTATTCTAATTAATTATATCAATAGTTTTAAACCTCAATATCATATATCCGTCACAAGAGCAGGGTGTTTGTTTGCTTTTGTCATTTAATATGATAGTAGTGAAATTTAATTTATATCTCACTTTTTAGGCAAAAGTTATAAATTGCTTTATATTATAATATTAAAGGTTAACACAACAGTCACTTGGGACATTTAAAACACACTGACTGATTTACCTAATTACGAGATTAGGGTTTTACTGCACATCTGCATTAATAATAAAATAACTAGGACATTACTGAGTGTGTGTTTAGTATCGACCCAGGCCCTGCCACAGCAAACGTGCCTGAACTGGCGTGTCCTCTGTAGATAGGTCAGCACATGTGTACGCATCTAAGAGTGTGTGTGAGTCTGCTGTTTGTAGTAAAAGCATTCCAGCAGTCAGCCAACAGTGTGGGCCGGTGCCCGAGGGATGGGCCCACACACCCACCCACCCACCCACACACACACACACACACACACACACACACACACACACACACACACACTAATCAGGCCATGCCGTACATTCAGGTCATTCTTTCTCCTTCAGGTTTGTGGTTCAGACACGCTCTGTATTGTCCCTAATAGGACATGTTTTAGTAAATCCACAGTACTCAGTCTGGTTATGATGGCAGAGTAAATGTGAGAGCTGTTTTATTGTCCCACAAGCTGTGCTGCAAATTTTATGTCCCCATATGTATTATTAAAAGCCGGTAATTTAAATGCCACTCAGAATCCTGTGAGTTGCAGCTTCTCTCCGCTTCGTCACCATGAAATTAAAAATGGAAACAGTGAGTTACAGCACATCTCACCTCAGTCTTCAGCTTACAAAAACAGCCTTGTCACTGGATTGAGTAATGATTCCAGCAGTGCGACAGATGAGGGGGGAGGGGCGGCAAAGTTGTAGAAAATGACTTGGTCATGATTTTTGTGTCTCCCACAAAAAGAGGAAGACCATGGAAACCCCTGGGCATTGTAGGAGCTGCTGTTGGTTTTGAGAAGAGGCCCCATGTAGGCATCTACCTATCATGCCTGCTTTGATCCACACGTATTTGCATGGCAGGGCAAAGAACACAGTTAACAGTTGAGCGGGTTAGAAAAAAAGGGCCAGCACCAGTGCGGATTGTTGGTTTTTGCTTGCTGCCTAAATTTGCTCCACCAAGCGAGTTGCTGTTGCAGATGGGCCTGAGTGAGTGGAAGAGGGCAGAGAGAGGGGGAAGGGAGGCAGATAAGGGGTTTATGGTGTGTGCTGCAAAAATGTCCATCTGGGATATAATCATGGGTTTAGTCTTAAAACACACTTTTCAGAAACATTTGGTAAAAATCTGCCCGTTGATTGACCATATTTTACTTTTACTTGCCAGTAATTTGAAATGTTATCTCCTCATATTTCATGTCCCCTCATTTTATATTGTTTACATCTTTAAAATTAAAAGGCTGAGTTTAAATTAAAATGGAATCTCTGTGGTGCGGAGTCAGACTCGAGGCTAATGAGCGAACAGCAAACGGATGAGCTAAGAGGGCTGGTGTGTCACACGGCTAATTTAAAAGCGGAGGTAGTGAAAGGGATTATCCAGAGATCAGAGTTCAATCCAAAGCTTGCAAAACATGCTCAGTGCACGGCCCTCCATTGTTTCAAATCACAATTCACTCAAAAGAAACAGAAAGGTGTTATCAACACAGGCAACATGCTGTGGAAAATCAACACAAACCATATTATCTTTAGCAATTCAAGTTAAGTAAATACTCTTTCTACTCTGTAGCTTATCTATTCATGTGTAGCACTTAAGAGGGTGGTCATGGAAAGAATCTGTGTTGCTGTAGCTACAGCATGTTGGCTGGTGTGGACGTGGACCAGTAGGATTCATAACCTCATACCCTGGCAGTCACCTAACAACTCACTGGAATTGTGGGTCAATTCGTTTTTCATTTACATTTGTTTTGCAGAAGTGTTGAAAGCCCTGTTTTTTTTTATTCTTGATTACTCTAATTTACACCATAGATACCAGATATTGAACACTCCTTATTATTTCTACAAGAGAGGTAAAGGAGTTCGAGCAAGCATCTAAAACTATCATCATGAGTCCAGCACATTCCCCCTCTTAAACCACAACTTTTTTTGTGGAGAAAAAAAAAAAGCGCAAATTCACACTAGCTGCGAACACGTATGCTCATGTATCCACGTGTTGCCCCTTTTTACCAGTTGACATGAACAGTTAATCAGCTGTCCTTTGGCTCATGCAAAATCTTTCCATAAATTCTTGGGCAAGTCTGTAAATCCATTTGGAAGTTATGCACCTTTTTGTGATATTCCACTCCCCCCTTTAGCTAATTGGCATGAACACAAACACACAGCTTTACACACACATTTGACCTCCATGTCAAATATCAACCTCCAAGGGCAAAAACTGTGACCGCCAAAGGGTGGGGAAATTTTTGTGGACCAAACAACCAACTGACTGACAGAGTGAGCTATAGAGCTGCTGGTTGCAGCTAAAAGAGATATATGTTAGTGGGCTTTAGAGATGCTGGTAGGCGGATGTTGAACCTTTTGAAAGAGCCTTTTGACTGTCCACATTCGTAGAGACATGAAAGTAATGTCAATCTCATCTAACTCTCAGCAAGAAAGCAAATGAGTATTATTCCCTAAATGTTGAGCTGTATAATTAACTTGGTATTTGAAATGCTGCCTCTTATTCTTACAGAGACTAGTCTGCTCTATGTAAAATGCTACTTCAGTCTTTTAAACCCCAACCAGGGTACAATTGTCTGGAAAGAAAATGTGAATACTTACTCTGGTCATATTTTCAGATATTGAACATTGTGCAAAATATTGTCAATCAGCAGCAGTACAAAAGAAGTTGTGTCAGACTTCTATCTTAAACCACAATGGTGCAACCCTATAACTAAGGTAGTGGCAACAACTTTGGCAGGGGGGATAATTTAATCTGCTTCCTGAATAGCTTTAACTTTAGTTTGGCATGGTGATGTCAGCATTACTACACAGGAGTAGAAATCTATGGAAAAATGCACATGTAATGACAGTGAGAAGTAAGCTGACTGAAGGTGGAAACACTGAGACATGTTGAAATTGTACTCGCTTTTCTTAAGACATCTCAGGCTATTCATCATCTAGTTTGTAAATGAATGTTTTCAGAATGTTTTTGTACTTCTTTACACTAAAAGAAAAAGAAATATTCAAAGTGTTGATATTCACAGGCAATGGTTTTGCTGGTCCGGCCCACTTTAGATCAAATTGGACTGTATGTGGCCCATGAACTACAGTAAGATTCACACCTCTGGTTTAGACAGTCTCAGTAGCCCTAATAGTTTGATTACACAAAATATCAGGTGACTTTTTTTTCTACCCAGTAAGAGAGGCTTCACTCAGTAGTCTGGAGTGGTAGCTAATGGAGGGGGACTGCCAATTGTTCCGCAGTCTCATAATGCCAAAGCCCCAATGGTAAAAAAAATGCCCCAGTGGATCGAAAACCCATTTGTCTGACAGCCAGGTATCCTGAAAACAAACGTGCACTGCTCTGAAGGCCGGTTGCTCCGAAACACACTATACACTCTCCCGGCATTTAGAAAGATTCATGGCTTGTGTTCAGTCGGCCCTGCCTCAATGTTCTTCTCTGACCGAACTCTCCCAAACAGAAGCACATGGCTAATTATTTTGCAGAAAGACATCATTGGACCATCCCACTATGTTGAAGGCATGACCTGCCCTACTCTGCCTCTAACTGGCTGATACTGTTTGCCTTTGTTGGTTGGGTTAGTTAGGCTTAGGCATGTATAGCGAGATTGGTTAAGGTTAGAGTGAGAATATCAGGGTGCACCAATCAGAGACAAAGTAAGGTGGGCTATGCCTTTGCCATAGTAGGAAGGTCTGATGGTTAGTCTCTACAATAATTAGCCTTGGGCTTCTGTTTGTGAGATTGTGTATTGTATTTTTGGAGAAACAGCCTGTCAGAGTAATGCACGTTTGTTTTCGGGTTACCACTGGTTGTCGGATAAATGGCTTTTCAGTCCAATTTTTTTTTTCCGGACTACTGGGGCTTCAGAATTATACACTATCCAAACAATAGCATGAGACAATGGAGGCTAGTCAGGAAAATCTTAGAGGGCTGTTTGACAGCTTAGTTTATGACATTAGCAGTTCCAAGTGACACTTAGTATATACAATAAGAGTCTAACCTCAAAATGAAAATATTTTAGAGCTCACACTGTTTTACAGATCACTCTGGTGGGATAAAGCAAATACACAATGAAATCACTGTGGAAAAGTTTAGTTTTAGAGGACACCATAGCAACCTTAACTAATTATTAAGTCTTCAGCTCAACCTGTTTTGGCTTTTGTGTGGTAAACAAACCTTCCATGTGATCCAATGATGAGATGCTCATAGCTGTCC